GCCTTAATGTGAGGTAGCAAAGTGTAAAACAAAGTTCGATGAGGCGAGATGATCGGCAACGACATCTACGTCGACAACGTCGTTTTTCATGAAAACATGGTAAACACGATGAAGGACTTTAACTAAGAAAACAATGACCCATATATCCACGTAACAAATAAAAGTTTTTAACTTTTTAAATCGAAATATTGTTATTGCTGATATAAAAGTTTCGTAACTATGGTAATCCAATACGTTTAAAAAGAACGATAGTTTACTTTAGATGATACAGTCGGCATAAAAGTGAAGTATTATGATTAAACCGTCTTTTACAATGATAATAAAGGGGAACGCGTGTAAATCTTATGCGCGGGGGCGTAAATACGAATATATGCGGCGTTTTACGGTTCGCGGCGGAAAAAAGCTCGCCATAAACGGACGCGCCGAAGTAGCTATCCCGTGATTTTGAAAACGGCGCCGTAAATCAGACGAATGTCGTGGGGGAGTAAATAATAGGGCGGCCAATCTATGGCGTGCCGAAATCAAGACGTCCGCGGGAAAAGGCACCCATACTAAAGTCTTCGGGGTGCGGGATTCTACGCTATCGACCGGCGTCGCGACGACGCCACCCCTTCATCCACCCCAAGACCGGCCACAGTTATCCCTTATCACTTACTACAATTGAATTCTGACCTTTCCCCTTTATTGCCGATCTTATAATAAAAGTCAATTATTGGCTGTGTTGCTCTTTTCAATTTCCATTATTAATAAAGATTATTTTAAATAATCTATTTTAGTGTTATGTGCCTTTGATCTTGTGTAAAACAAAAACTAAATAACTATTATTTTTTGAATTCATTTCTAGACGGTCAAGATATACTGACGCACGTAAACATCAAAGAGACAACAATGGCCGGATAATTTGTAAGCCGGCTTCTGCCGTTGTGACCGTTTTAATTGGGCCATACTTTTAAAAGCTGAAGGCCGACGGGAGTACGACACCACGGAAAAAAGTGCCCACAGAAGGGCGTTTTTAAGCCCCGCGAAAAAGCTCCGTTCTTTTGCATTACGTGGTAGACGTTTTGCACTGATAATGGGTCGGCATGCGTTTGGTTTCTCACGACTGTGTTCGTAAACGGCTTCATGTGTTTGTGCGTGTTCGATTTCCACATTAAAGAGAATTCCTATAAGTGTTTCAGGTTTTATAAACTGGAAAATATTGGATTTTATGACTTTGTTGGAAATAATAGCAAATAATTTAAATGAAGTGGATATTAAATATTAAATGAATAAGAATGGAAACTGATTTTGTCAAAATTCAATATTTGATTACTTTGATTTCCATCTAAGTTTTGGAACTGAACCTTATTATGTGTACACCTAAAGAAAAATGGTTAGCTGTTTTAGAGCTACTTTTAAAGTACGTTACTGCTTTTCAGACTGAAAAAAAACTCTTTGTTATCCACTACAATTTACTATTACTGTAAGTTGCGCTGAAGTAAAGTTACAGGAAAATGAAAATGAAACGCTTTCCTATTTCGGCCAGCTTTCACGAACTTTATCACACTGTTAGTTTGAGTTCATCCTCACTCGTAAGCGACAACCAAAAGAAGGAACTTAAAGTTTTGAAAGCAAAAGATTAACTTGGTTAATAAAAAATAATCTTTTATATGTAAGTCTTTCAAAGTAAAACTCTGGACTAGCTCTCAGCATAGAAAAGGCACTCAATAGTTCAAATCTTATAGTCAATAATACACTGTTGGAAATAATTCACGAGTACACCCTGTATAATCTGATTCCATTGCGCACAAAATACGACAACAACCTGGTCCCTCACACCACACTAAAAACGACCGGTATATCTCACCCATTCGGTCTCCATAGCGAAGGAATATTCCACTTGGAAAGGCGGCTCAGTCAACAATACCACGTCAGAAAAACTCGAAAAATAAACTCGTCTACAGTGAACCTTTATGCTCCGCAAATATTATAGATTTATGTTCATGCGTTCAAATTATATAGGGTGTGCTCGTGAATTATTTCCAACAGTATATTTTGGGCGACCGAGATTATTTCTTCCATAAAGTTGTTAATAGTATCACTCAGGATTCGGAGCGCAAAACCAAGTCTATCCTGATGAAGCTTATGAAAGAAATAATCTCGGCTGCTCTAAGTACAGGGTGTCCCAATTTCGATGTCCACATAGGCTATCTCCGAAACTAAAAGAGATAGAAAAAAAGTAGCTTACATGTCATGATCTCGTTTTTCGAGAAAATGCTAATGCCGAAAACTCCGAACAGCTATCGTCTTTTGTTTTCGCCCTATCGGCAAAAACTGAAAATTTTGCGAAAACGACAATCGCGAATATCTCACTTATTATCAAAGATGGAGTATTATAAATAAAACATTATATGGGCAACTTTTTACGAAGAATTCAGTGGCGTAGGTAGAATTTTTTTCCCATCTTTTATTTTCGAGATTTTAGACGTAACTTTATTTTTTTAAATGGAAACCATAGTTGGCTATGACTTAAAATAATTTGTTATTTTCTTCTGATAACAAATATATATAGTTTGTGGGGTATATTTCTTATAGTTATTGAATAATTAACAAAAATTCATTTTGTTCCATCTAAATCTAATGTATGTATTTAAAAGTTAATGTTGCTATGGTGATAACCATACATACTATGATGGAATATAATGTATCAATTTTTTTTGTTCTTTCTAAAACTATTGTATGTATTTAAAACTTAATGTTGTTATGGTGATAACCATACCATGAGGGAAAGCATTGTTTCCAATTATTGGCAAAGTTTGTAGCAAGGACAGTAGAATCTAACAGGACTGCTACATCCATTGTATTTTTGTAGTCGACTACGGGTTGGTTGCCCGCACTCTACGTCACACTATTTGCCACGCCTGGTAACTGTCTATGTTTTTAGAGGTTATATGATAGACATTAATACGTCTAAAAACATAAAACTTCAAAACTAATATGAATACGTCTAGGATATAACCTCTAAAAACACACAGCAAACGCATAGACCATAACAACAGCTAGGCGTGGAAAATGGTGTGACGTAGTTTGCGGGTAGGCTGTCACAACAATGGATGTAGCAGTCCTGTTAGATTCTACTGTCCTTGAGTTTGTAGTAGTATTTAAAAATTCACTAACAACTCTGGCATTATGTGCTGGTGCTCCGTCATATTGAAAATATATCATTTGAGACATATTTAGTGGCAAATTGTCGACCAAAGGCTCAATGTGCTGCCTTAATATATTGAGGTATTTCCCTGAGTTTAAGTTTTTATGGTAGATACTATATGCCAAAATTCTATTATCTAAAAGGGCACACCATACATTGAACCCCAATCTTCTTTGAACACTCAGAGACTTCATCGGTCCAGATTACATTTTGAACAAACAGCAGATTATTTAATTTTTTTAAATATCATCTACAAAATTCTAATCTTCGATTGACATCTCCGGCACGTAAATAATGAGTTAGCCCCGCTTTGTATGGTTTATACTTATTTTTCTTTCATATTCGGGAGCAGCGGCTTTTGGGTCAGACGTCTTGTTGCAATTTCTCTTGCAGGTCATTTTGGTATGTTTTTGTATGTGGTTTGGGGAAGGACCAAATATCTATTAAATTTTCTGCTAATCGGCTGAAGGTTTTTTCGTGCGGTTGTCTTCTTTCTGGATATCTTGTGAAATAAAATTCCGCGGCTAACGTCGCATTCTTATCTGATAACATATAGCATTCCATCATGTTACATTTTTCATAATTTTCGAAATTCATTGTAAAGTTTTATTCAGTTTTGTTATACTTTGACACTTAACATGCTGGTGCATCGTACCAGCACATAATGCCAGAGTTGTTATCGAATTTTTAAATACAAACTTTGGCAATTATTTGATACATTATGTTCCATCATAGTATGTATGGTTATCACCATAGCAACATTAACTTTTAAATACATACATTAGTTTTAGATAGAACAAAATGAATTTTTGTTAATTATTCAATAACTATAAGAAATATACCCCACAAACTATATATATTTGTTATCAGAAGAAAATAACAAATTATTTTAGGTCATAGCCAACTATGGTTTCCATTTAAAAAAATAAAGTTACGTCTAAAATCTCGAAAATAAAAGATGGGAAAAAAATTCTACCTACGCCACTGAATTCTTCGTAAAAAGTTGCCCATATAATGTTTTATTTATAATACTCCATCTTTGATAATAAGTGAGATATTCGCGATTGTCGTTTTCGCAAAATTTTCAGTTTTTGCCGATAGGGCGAAAACAAAAGACGATAGCTGTTCGGAGTTTTCGGCATTAGCATTTTCTCGAAAAACGAGATCATGACATGTAAGCTACTTTTTTTCTATCTCTTTTAGTTTCGGAGATAGCCTATGCGGACATCGAAATTGGGACACCTGTACACTGTGTTAATTAATTATCGTACTCGACGTCATCACTGCAAGTATGCAACCAAATACGCAAATCGCGTATTGTAATACCAGTACTGTGATATTGGTTGCATACTTGCAATGATGACAAGATTATTTCTTCCATAAAGTTGTTAATGGTATCACTCGTGTAAAAACAAGTCTATCCTGCTTGAAGTTTAATAAGTTTTTATTTCTTTGTATAAGAAAAATATAAATCGATATAAAAATTTGAAAATTTAAGTTTAGATCTGTTTCCAATATATTATCTGTTTTTTAGATTTATATGGTGAAAGAATGAGATTAAAGGGCAGTGGCTGTCGTATAAATCTCGTCTGAGACGCCGAGACCAGTATCAGTATTATTTACAGAAATGATTTATTCGCTATTATTTCGGAACCGTTCACGCGAACAACGGATTAATTGTGGTCTTAACCTCGACTTGTTGTGATTCTTTCAATTCTTTTCTTCGCGGGTGTTCGATTCGATTCGGTGTCTTTTCCGATGTCGTTAATTTTCCTCGTCGAGGAGAATCAGTTTCTATTCACTTATTACTTACGGTTTTATTTCCGATATTTCGAACGCGACAGCTTAAATAGGCCGATTTTCCAACGAGGGCAGTGACATTTTTCGGAGTTGTTAAGTCGAATTGAGGATCAAATTTTCTTGGAGGTAGCGTCATCTCAGGCATCGGCGACGTCTGGGGCCCATCCAAGGAATTGTACCCGATTCTGCGCCCAGATGGTTGAACACCTCTTTTCACCACCTGCTCGGCTGTAATTTGAAAAAAAAGGTAGCAATTAGCGTGAAATCAATGGAAAAGGAACGAAATCCGACCGTGTGGCGGATTTCAATTTTTCGGGGAATATTTGATTTGCTATTTAACTTTTCGATTAAATGGAAGTTCAATCGGAAAATTCGGATCGAATATTAATGTGTACTTTGCAGGCCGTTTTTTTCACCAATTAGCCTCGCTATGACCTAGATTTATGACAGAATTTATCGGAACTATTTTTGCACACTAAAATACACTTTTAATTTAAATTCAAAGAAGAATATTTGAAATAGGATATTCTAATAGAAAAGAAATTTCAATTTAAAATGTAATGGTAGAAATGTTTGTATTATAGGATATAGTATTGAAAGTCAGAAACATAACGAGCTCAAACAAATCGTCTCCGATTCTTGATACACATCAATTATTGATTGTGCCGCTTATAAGTTATTCAACCGCGACGTCCGTATGGATTCGGTTCAATCAGAATCGCACGGGGAAACGGGAAGAAACGGATGCGACGGCAAATAGAATTGAAATTGATATTCAAATTCACCCTATCCCCTTTGCCCGTTTTGTTTACACGGTCTCTTTAATCGGGCACAACTTGGGATTCATTAAGCCGGCCGATCCACCTTAATGTCTTGAGAACTTTGAGCCATAACTTTTAACTAATCCATCTTCCGTACATTAATTACTCGCCGATTCAATTTACCGGCTCGGTCGTTCGGGAATTTCGAACCCGTTTTTAATTAATCAATTCGCGACGAGCGAATCCCATCGCCGTGTCCATTCCGAACGGTTAACGATGCCCAAATCGTCCTCCGGTTCCCGTTCCTTCGATTTCTCCAAGGGGTGTCTCTTTCGCTCCCTTTTCTTTTCTGTTACTAATTGGGTGGGTGATGTTTATTGTTTGCGATGACAAAAGAGGCCACTCGAACCGAGGCAAGGCGACTAATAGTCGCACTTTTCCGATCGGCTTGTCGTTGGCGCAAAAATGCTACAACGAACACAAAGAGTTGTCCTGCCCAATGTTTCCTGTTATCAATCAACCCTCCATTCGTTAGTGTATCACAGAAAAAGGGGAAGGATTTATTATACTCCAAAATACAAAAAAAAATCTACGCTATATTACATTACATAGACTACATATCTGGTAGGCGGAATAACCAACCTTGCACCGCACCCTAAGGATCTATTGTACTCCGATAGATATCGTTATCAAATTTCACCGCGCAGTCCAATGCTCCTAACGAACATTAATACCTTGCTCGGTGAAAGGTCATTCAGATCCTTTGAGGAGATAAATTGCGACCCAAAATCAAGTTGAGGTGTGCTTTTAATCTGCAGTAAAGACACCCATTAGAACTTTAATGCTGCTACGAGCTAGTCCTAAAATGTTCCCGGGTTTGACAGTGGCGATGTTAATAAACACCTTAGCATGTCTCATTCCAGGAGAACTAGTCCACAGTAGGCGAAGTCTCTCTTCAGTCCAATCTTATATTTGGCCATCGCAAATGATACACCAACTGCTGGTTCCGGTCCCACAAACGCTTTAGAGCTGCCCTCTCGTGCTAGCGCATCTGCCACTTCATTGCCAGCAACCCAGATCAGAGAAACTCTGTTATCACAACTCAGTCTGTTTAATGTTCTCTTACAATCATGTCAAGCACCCATGTCAATAGCAAATACTTCCGCCTGGAAAACAGTACAGTACGTACCCAGGGTGTTAAGGAAGGGGTTAAGGAAGCGAAAGTTGGATGGACTAATCCGCCCAACTATCCAAGGTGAAGAAATTCCTTTCTCAAAGGAAGTCAAATATCTAGGAGTAATCCTAGACAAAACCCTGTCATGGAATGGACATTTGCAGGGAGTTTTGCACAAAGCTAGACTATCCTTGTGGACTTGTTGCAATCCTTGTGGAAAAAATTGGGGTCTTACCCCTGAAAGACTGTACTGGCTCTATGTGACTGTTGTTAGACCTATGATCACATACGGAGCAGCAGCCTGGTATAGGAAAGTCCGACAGACTTCAGTTATCAGTAAACTTTCACGAATTCAACGAGTAGCTGGATTGGCAATCTCTGGTGCGATAGGCATAACGCCAACTCTAGCAATGGAGGTTCTGCTTGGCCTATCTCATCTGTATTTGCATATAGAGAAAGTGGCTAGAACAACCAATTACAGATTTAAGCAATATGCTCAAAACTGTTCCGACATGTCCTGTCAATGGGCTGCGGAAGACATTATAAGCACTGATACTGTGCTATCAATGCCGTCAGATTTGGCGGTATCACTATCAGTGATTAATGCTCGATACCAGATTGTACTGCCTGAGCGGCAGTCCTGGATCGAAAATGAAAATTCTCTGGTTCGGGCAGACATTTGCTTGTACACAGATGGATCAAAAACGCCTGAAGGGGTAGGAGCAGGAGTATACTGCCAGACACCTCGAATTAAGCAAGCCTACAGCCTGGGTACGTACTGTACTGTATTCCAGGCGGAAGTATTTGCTATTGACATGGGTGCTAAAATCCTTCTTGAAAGAGGGGTGAAGAACATGACAGTACGAATTTTCTCAGACAGTCAAGCCGCTCTCCAGGCGCTGCAAGCCGTGAAAACGGTGTCGGCTCTGGTTAATGATTGTAAGAGAACATTAAACACACTGAGTTGTGATAACAGAGTCTCTCTGATCTGGGTCCCGGGTCACTCTGGGGTTGCTGGCAATGAAGCGGCAGATAAGCTACCACGAGATGGCAGCGCTGAAGCGTTTGTGGGGCCGGAACCAGCAGTTGGTGTATCATTTCCGATGGCCAAATATAGGATTGGACTGTGGGCTGAAGAGAGACTTCGCCTACTGTGGACCAGTTCTCCTGGAATGAGACATGCTAAGGTGTTTATTAACATCGCCACTGTCAAACCCGGGAATATTTTAGGACTTGCCCGTAGTGGCATAAAAGTTCTAATGGGTGTTTTTACTGGGCACTGCCGATTAAAAGCACACCTCAACTTGTTGGGTTTAGCCGACGATGTTGAATGCCGACTATGTGCGGAGGAAGCAGAGACGGTTGAGCATGTTTTATGCCACTGCCCTGCCGTTAACCGTATCAGATTCTCGATTTTTGGGTCGCAGTTTATCTCCTCAAAAGATCTGAATGATCTTTCGCCGAGCATTAAAGGTATTAATGTTCGTTAAGAGCATTGGACTGCACGGTGAAATTTGATAACGATATCTATCGGGGTACAATAGATCCTTAGGGTCGCGGTGCAAGGTTGGTTGGTCCGCCTACCCGATATGTATTCTATGTAATGTAATGTAATGCAATGTACCCAGGGCAGTATACTCCTGCTCCGACGCCTTCCGACGTTTTTGGTCCATCTATGAACATACAAATATCTGCCTGAACCAGAGAATTTTCATTTTCGATCCAGGACTGCTGCTCAGGCAGTACAATCTGATATCGAGCATTAATAAACAAATCTACGCTAATTCAATATGTGTCAAGTTGTTTAATAATAACTAATAAGAAAGCTATGCAAAATGCTTTGTGTGAAAAAGAAGTAAGAATAAAGTTCTCCATTTGTAAAGTGTTTGTGTTTCACGTTGGGCTTTGTGCACGGCTCGCTAATTAGGAATGCAAATCATCGTCGGCAGTACGTACAACTGTACGTAAGAAGTTCGCGTTCGCTTGTAAAATAAATTACGGCCGTGGAGTATTTAAATAGTCGACGTTCGCAGATAACGGCGATCGCCGCCCTTTAATTGCCCCTTTAGCTCGTTAAAATAATTACGGGAGTCGGAAGGCGTTGGGAGGCGGGTTCAGACGATGGAGGCGGATGCCGAATGATAAAACCCGCGCGTCTCGAAACCGGGCGTCACGATAAATTTTTACACGGGACGGTAAATCAAATCGCCCCCGAGGGAGTTCGACTGTTACGAAAAAAGAGTGCAAACAGATGAAAACGTGCCTCGGACGACCATCGATCCACCGACAGCCGCCCTCTGAATTTTCTGGAAAAAAGCCATCGAAAATGAGTTTCGGGAGAAATGCAGGTGTCCTGCCGGAATTTTGTCCCCGCGGGGGATGAAATGTGCGCCGCGAGAGGGCGCATTTCGGTGGGTATAACACAAATGAAGGAATACAACTCTGCCCTGGCCTCGGCCTCGGTTCCCGTCCCGGGATCATGGTCGTAACGTCGGATGTCCTTCTGGTTCGTAAAAAGGATATGGGCCCGGGACTATTCTTACCGGATAACGGCCGAAAAGTAGATTGCTTACTCGACTTCCGCACGTCAATAAATTATCACCCTGTATTTTCGCCTGTCTTTACTTAACGGTGAGATCCTAACATCCCAAATTTCCCCTTCAACGAAAACCCTATTATTTTAGCTTTCCATCAATATCAAACATTATTTATTTTATGTACTGACCCAGTCGTATAACTTTCCTCTCTTAAACTCCTAAACCTAACAAACGTTATTTCCCAAATAAAATATACACTGTGTCTCGTGATTTTTTTCTCCATTTAAGTCGACGACGAAGACACCCTGTCGAATACCTAATGGCACCCTAGCTTTGATATTCAGGGCGTTTCCTGCTAGCACCTGCAGAGGCACGGCGACTCGCTTTGTAGGGCCCTAACCAGGTCTAACTGCGACTTTTTGCAAATAGTGCGGTATTATCAAACCGAGCATTCGACGTAAGGCAAATAGAGTTAGTGGGAAAGGTCGACGGAATAACAATGTGGAAACTCGAAAAATTGCCTTGTTTTTAACGTGATTTACCTGAACCAATAAAACATTTCTTTACTTTGATTTAGCCAACATTTTAATCATATAACTTTTTTATTTAATTGCCAAAATTGGATTCTATATACACTGTTGGAAATAATTCACGAGCACACCCTATATAATCTGAACGCGTGAAGATAAATCCATGTTTGCGGAGCTCCCCAGTTAACGTTGAGGAGCTATGGAGACGAGTTGAGGCAGTATGGTT